TGTAGAACAACGGCTTGAGTAACGCGGATATGGTGGCAGCAGTGGAGTGAAATCACTGTAACAAGTAGAAGAGGGAAGGATCCTACGGAGCAAGAGGGGACTCTGATTGGACCCGAAGAAAGAGGATTGCGGAGTAAACCTCAGCCTTGGATCAACAATCCCAGCCTACTGGTAGGGATGAGGAAACCAGCGGGGTGTGTGACTGGATTTCAAATATGTCTAAGTAAATAAGTAAGAAATTGTGGTATTTAATGGGTGATACGAAGATATAGGATAGATAAATAGCCCAGGAGAGAAGAAGAGATATCACAACAGTTTAACACACATTTGGTCAAAGGATAGACTTCACTTGTCTCTTTGACGAGTTGCAGTGTGGTGCTAAGAATGGCAAGGCTCACTGAAGATGCCAGCGAAACGTCTGGGAATGTACCAAGTTCACGGTCCAACTCTGAAAATCATCATGCATACTATGGACTCCGGACAAGGTGCATGCATCTAGATCTTTCTCTCAACATGACTAATTTGCGAAAACAAGGTCAAACAACTTCTATACAACGAAAGGAGACCGCGACCATACAAAAGGCCACACCGTCCTGGTCTTCATATCTTCATAAAACAGATGTACAACCGTTGGTGAAGTAAGTTGTGAGATAATATTGGTGCTAAAAGCAAAAATAATTCTCAATTGAGAGATATGGTTGTACTCAACTATTATTACATTTAGTCTAGTTTGTCATCTGAGAGACGGATGAGATCAAAGTTAAATTACTTTATACGAATCATAAGATAACTCAGTGAATATAATGAAGACGGCTCAAGGCAAAAAACTCACAATTGTCTTCACTAGGCTCAAAGGATTTAATCGATGTAGATAGCGTATTAAAGTTAGGAGATTTCTTTAGACGTCGCATTGTCATGTCACTCAAAGGCCAAGCATTGTTCCCTTCGCTTACAAGCTGCTTTTGAACCTGAATTGGCTTAAAAAAGATGGAAGGGGAAGCCAAAGCTACGTCCGCCAAATCAGCAGTCAGTCGACGCCGTCTAGCCGCTGAGAGTCTCTGTAAAATATCAATAAGCTTGGCGATGCGAGGGCCGAAGACGCTCCCCTGAGAATGCGCCTCACGAACTCGATAGTGAAGTCCAAGAAGATATTCCAAACGGTTATCTGCTTCTTCGGTTATTTTTTCAGTTTCGGCCTGGTGAATATCATGTGGCGAAGAGATAGTTGTGCCATTGTGAACAAAAGATTGAGGTTCACCAACTCCCGAATTATGCTCATCAACATCTATTTGAGCACCAGCCATTTGGGAGTCCCGTTTCAACATATCAAAGCTTGAAGATAAGTAGTCACCAGCAGAAACGGTTAGCATGACCCAGGCATCATAAAGTCTCTTTAACTGAGGATACAACAGGTGAATAGAAAAGCGATATTGTCAAAATAGTAACAATACCCTGCGAATATATATATATATATATAAAGGTGAATTAATGGAATTTTGGGTGGTAGCATCTTCCTCTAATTGCTTTCAAAATTGAAATTAAGCTTTAGCAGCAATTCGTTATTAAATGATGTCACTGATCGACGATAGGTTTAATCATATTGAAGCCATAAAATATTAGAGTTCTTTCAAATAAGCCTAAACATTCAAATGATCACTATTTAATCCAATTATTCTGACCTTTTCTTCTATTGAGAACCCATTAATTCATATGAAGTTACAATCGATGGAAAATAAATTAAATTATATAGTGCTTTATCAGATAATAAAAAATAAAGATAAGGAACTTAAGAATTTGAGTATTACAATCTGACTAGTAAAATATATGCAGAAAGCATCTAAAAGAGAATAAAAAGTTAAGATGGGTCAGAAAGTAGTAAATATGTCAAAAGCACCGTTGGAAATATCACCAGGGTGGTCCCATCTAGGAGTGTAATTGATAATTTGCAAAATAACTAGAAGTACACCGATAAAATTATGGTAGAACCTAAAAACTTTACTCATCGTTATGCCTGAAATTCACAAATGAGCCCCATCTAGAATCATTGAGTTGTGTGATGCATAAAACAATATGATTTATTTGTG